TATATACCATTCACATTCTGATTCGAAATTTGCGCCCCAGTCGATCGCCATATGATGTGCGGTATTCTTTCCGCAGAATCACGCATTGCGTGCAGGCGGTGACGCCAGACGCAGTTCCAGTGCCCGGAAGTCGATGCTGCTGCTGCATGGAAATGGCCGCGAATTTCGCGTTGCTGCGCTGTGGTCTTCTCCGCGGAAGACTGACGTGCACGGCACGTTGGCAATGCCAGTCACGTGTCTGCGTCCTTCACATCAACATCTGGGATCTCCGAAGCAAAATAAAAAAGTCCGCATTTCCGAACAGTGATGAGGGCAATCAAGAATCTTGAATCAAGAATATTCGAGCGGAACCTACCAACCATCATTCTTGATTGCTCCGCCGTGCCCATCGTCGTCTCGATTCGGCAGAGCGATGGTCCGCTTTTACAATCGATGCAAGTACTCCTTCATCCACCTGCTATTGGCAGGGCACGAATCGATCGAGGCGCATGTCGCACCTCCTCCAACAGTGGACTTGGCAGGCTCACACCGCTGCTTACATGCTCAAGCATCTCATTGCATCTCGAGTCGCGAGCATCGCGGTGAGCATTGGGTGCAGTCTAGGGATGTGATCATACAAGCAAGGTGGGGGGCCTCCCGGGGCCTCGAATCGAATGGTATGTTGCGCGTTTTCAGGGCGCAAGGTCTAAGCAAATGGCAGTGGGCGCCGGTGTAGTGATCATGGCAAGGGGCAAGGTGAATGTTTCTTCAAGCTCAAGCATTGAATAGAGCCTAAGAATTGAACAGCCAAAGGAAGAGGCTGCATCTCTGGAGCGACAGTGGCTTAGTGCCTAGTAGTCGGCTGCTTGATGCGGCTTGTGAGCGCTTCGACGACTCTTCTGGGTGTTCTTGGGTACGAAGCCAGGGTATCCGTCCGTGAAGAGCCTAGCGATGCCAAGATCGCTGCCGAACATGCAGTCCGGATCGTGGGTGCATCCAGGGATGACGTCGTAGGTCCAACTAGCCGGCAAGCTACCTCCCAGAGCCTTCTTGATCGCCTCGACGTACAGTCTTCCACGTTGTCGGTGATTTTTGCCTTGCGTACCTGCAGCGCACGAAGTATCTCCAGGGCCATAATCTTTTTGTCCGACAGCCACGTGCACCCTGCGAGCTGCATACCTGGACAACACACCCCTCTGATCTAGCAAATCGACATCGGTGCGCGCATAAGGCGGAAGCTTCGAGTCGCCGCGCTTCACAAAGTACTTGTACTCGTGCGCAGCCTTGCCGCAAGTCGCATCTGGCACGGGCACATCCGGCGTGACCCACAGCCAGGAGCCAGGATTGGCAATGAAGTACTCTAGCGAAGGTACGCTTTCATCGGCGCCCTTTTTGAGAGTCGAGTAGCGGTTGATGGCCTGCGCTCCGAGACTGTGCCCGGCAAAGATGATTTTCGTCGCTTTGGGGTATCGTGACTTGGCCAGGTTCACCAAGCTGTCTAGGACGTCAAAAGAGGATATTGGGGAACCAGCTCCAACACCGTTGGAGCCAGACGACCAGCTCAAGCCCTTGAAGAGGAGGTCGGTGGCAGATGCAGAGCCGGCCTCCTTGTCTGCTGTGTTCATGAATTGTGGAACGAGCACCGCAATGCGCTTCTCGTCGATTCCGGCCAAATTGCCAGCTGCCTTGTTTCGAGCATTTGTGAGAGAATTGAAGTAGTACCACCCGTCCCTGCCCTTGGCAGCAGAGCCAATCACTACCCTCTCCACGTTGGCATCATCCGTGTCTTCAGACACATACAGTGGCACCGTCAGCCCAGCACCGACCTTGAAAGTAGTGCGTAGCAGCTTGGATCCGCACACTGCTTTGCCCGTCGGAAGGGACACCCATCCACCATCGGTTCCGATCTGCACCGTCGCGCCCGAGGACTGATAGTATGGCTTCACTGAGCCTTGCACTGTCCAATGGTTGGTCGTGCATGTTTTTAAGGCTGCAAACGCAGGGCTCGTGGTGCCCAGCAAGACTAGGGTTGTGACCAGGAGCAGAAGAGACGAGAAGCGCATCATCGGTCCCGGGAGAAGAAAGGGGGTAATTGGAGAGCGCTCCACACCGAGCAGGGCTTGTCGCGATCAAGCTGCCGCCAATAGGATGAGTGGAGCCGCCTGAGGATTGCAAGGTCTTAAGCAGACCTGCTCAGCCGGCTCGTCGAGAGGTATTGGATGAAAAGAGTGACTGTGTGGGTAGAGAGTGAGCACTGGAACAAGATGACAGAGGTTGTGGTGGTCGAATGTGAGACGGGAAGCGGGGCGTAGCAAAGGGGGCAAGTGTGATAAATCAAAAGCCAAAAGCGGAAAGGCCGGCGGCAAGTGGGAGAGGTTGAAGTCGCAAGCGCCCTATCGGCGTGTCGGCGCGACCTGATGGATGGGCTACGTTTGTCGTTGGGTACAGTATAGCGCCTGATCGGGATCGACCAAAGGCGTTGCGGAACAAGTGACATTGCTCCAGTGCCTCGCGGCTGCGTACACAGCCTGCATCTCTACAATGTAAGACAAGCACAAGATCGATTTCTGCACATCAAGAATGCATGCTGTGCAAGCGTTCCGAGTCTGGAAGCTGGCATTCCGCTCTGTGGTACGGTACCGGTTCGTCCGGTAAAAGCTGCATCTGCAGCAGCTTGGCGCGTACAAGCGCGAGCACAACCAGCAACACGGCGTCAGCAACAAACATACAAACGTACCTCGACGGGGCCCGCAAACCCTACTTGGCAGCCCTGGTCTGTACCTGCTGGCCTCGCGACTGACCTCTGCATGTGATGGATGGTTAGATGAGGCAGCCGCCGGATAGGAGCGTGAATGTGAACCCAAGAAATCACGAATGCGGGCCTCCCGCGCTCAAGCTGCAGAGAGATGCACGACGGGAAGAAATCATGCACCAATTGCAGCCCCTGCAGCTAACACGCGTCACGGCCGGTCGTTCACATTTCCCAAAGGCCTACGACCTGCGCTGCACCATCGATTCTCTGTGCAGCCGCTTCGAAGCATAGGCTTCACCGTTAGGTAACGCAGGCTTTGCAAGTGTAGGCTGAGAGGAGCATAGAGCGGAAGTCTGCTGCATGCACTCCAAAGGTCAGTTGCTGGAGTCAAACCGACTCGAACCCTTACCACCAAATGAAAGCACTTGACCCCTGTTGCAGCCTTGCTGTGCATTGCGGTCTCTACATGGCAGATCCGAGCTGACAATTGGGCTCGAAGAAGCCGTCTTGCTTAATGAAGGTAATGTTGCGCAGATGTCTACACGATCTTGATTTCACCGTGTTTCGAGAAATTTCAGGAGACTGTCTGGGTCACCCCAATTGTTGATCTTGATCAACTCCATCCACCTTCTGTGACCAGGTGTACTTGATTGAAGCAACGAGGACACCCTTCCTGGCAATGTGCGTTGGATGAGAACGCAGCATGAAAATGTGTGCACAGAGACCTCTCCCTCTGCCTCGAGGCTTCTGACTAGGTCTTGGACAGCATTTAGCTCTCTGTCTCAATTGCGTTTGACTTGCTTGCTGTCTGCCAGTGTCATCTTTTGCAATCCTGTGGCCCCGCGTGCTTCGTGTTTTGTGTTTCGAATATGAGGAGCGCACGCGGAGCGCAGATGGCGAACCCGCTAAAGCTGTGTCTGGTCGCAGACACGCGTTCGAGACAAACACATGCAAGGTCGCGTCCCTCGATCAGCTGTTGCTCCGTGCATGGTGCTGCTGTGGAGTGGCGCGAAGAAGCAGCAACTGCGACGCACCAACGTCTTTACCTCGTCATTGCAACCTTCCACGACTCGCTTCAGCTCAATCGACCCCGCTCAATTCGACCAAGCGGAGGGTTTTCAGAGAGACGGACTCCTGCTGATCAGCGCGATACAGCATGCGCATATCCAATCCTAACATCGTAGCCCCTTGGGGTGGTCAGGGGCGGCCTATCCTCTCCACCAGTCCGGCCTGGTCTTCAAGGCAGCGGCCTAGGTCGTTGGATTGGATTTGCCACAATGTGTCTCATAAGCGTTGCTGTCAGCACTGCTGCGCAGTCCCAGCGTCCACCTCAGGCATCTCGTGAGCCGTGCACCACTGTGGGGAGAGAGAGGCGCGTAGCTGACTTTCGCAGCCTCCTCTAGCAGGCTCCCAGTTGGTGTTGCAGCTACGTATGCCCTTTCGCGCGCCAGAGCGTTCAATCTGCCCTCAAAACGACATCTGTCCACTGCCACGACCTCTGCGCAGATGGAAGCACGAGCAAGGCTCGAGAGTAACAGCAAAGTCACCTTCCTCTCTCGCCGCTTCGTCCCCACTCTCAAAGCGGACAACGTTGGATCAGATGGCGCGAAAGGCGGTAGCAAATTCAGAGAGAAGGACAGCAGAGCCCGAGAATCCATTCAGGCTAGCTCACAAGATGCTGCACTAGGTGGCTCATCGGACCTCGACGCAGCTATGACACTGCTACTAAGAGGCGGCTACGTTCGGCAATCCTCCTCTGGGATCTACAGCCTCCTCACACCGGGTCAACGCGTGCAGAACAAGATCAGCAGGGTCGTCGTAGAGGAGATGGAGCGCGGACTTCTGGCGCCTGGAACACCTGGCGAAGGGGTCGGAGCTTCGCGCGTTCAGCTACCGACACTGTTACCATCTACCAACTGGGAGAAATCGCGAAGGTGGGAAAGCATGGGTTCGGATATGTACAAATTGAGAGATAGGCATGGGAGACAGTGGCTTCTCGCGCCAACTGCTGAGGAGGAGGTCACTGCTTTAGTCGGGAATAGCGTGAAGAGCGAACGTGACTTGCCGGTCCGGGTCTACCAAATTTGTGAGCAGCATTGGGAGTGGCACAGGTCCATGTTCCTTGAAGAATGCCAGTGAGAAACGTGCCCAGAAGCTGACAACGAGCCTTCCTCTACAATGTGCGGTAGCTCGAAAGCACAGAGATGAGCCTCGTCCACGCCTTGGTCTGATCAGAACGCGCGAATTCCTGATGAAGGATATGTACACCTTCGACAAGGACTTATCGACGGCGGCACACACGTATCAAACGGTGAGGCGTGCGTACACAAGGACCTTTGACAGACTTCTCGGCACGGGAAGCTGGAAGAGCGTGAGTTGTGTGCAGCATCGGTTCAGATGGCTGGCGCCGCTCACCCTCTTTCTGCCACGTGTAGGTAGCCGCCGACACTGGCAGCATGGGGGGAAGAGAGTCACACGAGTATCACGTCGAAGATCGAGGTGAGTAGCCGTTGTGAGCTGAAGCGAAGGAGCCCAATCTGACAATCGTGCTCCATGTTCAGCTGGCGAGGATACTCTACTCACCTGCAACGATGTGTCCTGTGCTTACAGCGCCAATTCCGAGCTAGCAGACGCCCTTCCAGCGTACACTCGAGGGAATCTACCGCCCACCAGCGCCGATGACGTACAAGTCGTCTACTTCTCGCTGCTCGACAACGATCATGTGCACTCCACTTCATCCCGATCCCGCAGCTCACTAACCACCGATGCAATGACATCAGAGTCCACAGGCCCAGGCGGGTGCGCATACACGCTGGCTGCTGTGGTGCTGCCTAAGTCACGCACGGTGAATTCCTCTAAACTGGACCGGCACCTTGCACCCAATGCGATCACACTTGAGCAGGTGGCATCAAGCTGGAATTGGGAGACGAAGCCTCAGGGTCCTTTGCTCGATCACGACAAGCTTGCCGTATGGGTGGACCGCTCGTGCGGTGCACTTGAGCCCGAAGAGCTTGTAGACGCTATCCGGCTGGGTCTGGGTCCTTTCGCATCACCTCCTGGAGCAAGCGCATTCGATATATCTCTCGAGCGGCTGACTCAACTCTTTCCCATGGAGAGCACGGGAGCTCACGCAGCAGCCCCGGCACTTGCATCGACACTTTCGATTAACCATGCCGATTTGCTCCAAGCGGAGGAGGGAGATACGTGCTCTTCTTGCCGTAGAGGAACTCTCAGAGCCTCTCGCGCAGTAGAGATCGGACATGCTTTCCTACTAGGCACCAAGTATTCGGACGCTCTAGAGGTCGGATTCGTGCCATCTGGCGACGCTGGCTCTGGCGCCTTGCAACCTTTTCAGATGGGCTGCTACGGTATTGGCATTACTCGTCTGCTAGGCATCCTTGCTGCAAGAGCTCTTACCCACGGGCGACGAGGCGGGAGAGAGGTTTTCGCGTGGCCAGGACATCTTGCCCCTTACTCGGTTGGTATCATCTTGCTTGACCCTTCATCCCAGTCGGCGTGGAACGGCGTCTCAGCTTTGGTCGACCTTCTTTCGAGAGAGCGTGGCAGAGATGGGCATGAAAGCGGGCTTGAAAAAGCAGACGAGACATCGCATCCTCCTTTGCTTTCCGGCGTAGGCGAGCTCATTCGCGGAGATGTTGCAATCGATGATCGACCGGCAACGAGGGCGCGAATGGGCGCCAAGCTTGCAGAAGCTGATCTGATGGGCTACCCTTGGACGTTCATTTTTGGCAAGCGCTTTGCCGAGGCGGGTGAGATCGAGGTGAGGCATCGAGGCGAGGTGCATGGGACCGGCGCGACAGCGGAGGGCTGGCAAGGCTTCGTCAAGCTGCAGGATCTCCTTGCGAAGGGCCACTTGGCTCGTTGAGATCAGGCAAGGTATGGACAGCGTCAACTTTTATGGTTTCACGAAGGTCAGAATGCAAGGTCTGATGCTGGATAAAGTCATCGAAGAGGGCAGCGAGCTAGCATGCGTTTGCTACGCCCGGTGATCCCTTTCATGCCGTGCACGAGCCAGCTCAACAAGCCCGCAGACTCGGAAGAAGTGCACAATACGTACATTCTCTCGCCTTCGGCGAGGGAAGCAGCATAGGCAGTCGTCATCTGCTAGGCGCACAGGTGAAATTTGCGCCATCGAGACATGCGGGATTGCGAAAAATCGGCTACGGGGATGAGCACGAGCTCCATGTTCCTTTCAACGGACGAAAAGGCGTCCGCTTCAAGAGTTGTCATCGCTGCACTCTCGCAGCCAAAGCCCTACTTGGCCAAGTGCAGTGAGTTGCCATAACATTGAGCAGAGCGAGCCCGTTGAAGCAATACGCTGAACGTGGCTTGCCTTGGACCAGCATGAAGCCCGCCGCAAGTGAACTTTGTCAGGCGCCAGAGCAGTTGTACGCAACGACTTCAGCAGGTCTCTCCCGCAGCTTTGAAGGACGGCTTTCAAGCACAGCGTCTGGTCCCGTCGAAACCTGTTGTTCTGGCCATTCGTCGCGCAGACGCATGGAAACCGTCACATGAATGGCACCCGGACCCGTTCGCTGGCTAGATGACAATGTGATAGCATTCAACAGAGGTACAAGCTCGCGTTGCACGTCTCAAAAGCCGCTGTAAATTTTGGGATTCTGAAGTGCCTTGAACCGGTCGGCGTTGGCAGACCAGAGCGTCCAATTGAGCGCTTGTAGATAGGTCCTGTGAAGAGTGCCGGAGATGAGCGGCTCGGTAAGCACCACTGCGCACCGAATCGAGAGGATTGCTCGCTTGCTCCTGATGGCTCACCTTTCAAGCTCTCTGGCTTTGTTGAGCTCTTCCAAATTGCTCGATGTGCCTGCGCCAAAGTCCTTGATAGCCTTTCGGAGAAGCTGCAACGCTTTGCCGTATCGCTTGTGCCCTGCGTGCCACGAAGTGGCCACAACAGCAAAGGCAGAGTCCTTTTCATCTGCTACTCGTCTGTACTGTGCGAATGCGGACTCAAATTCGGCAGAAGGACGCTCTGCCGATTGGGCTAGCAATGCGCGAGTTTGGCTGCGTACGATGGTCAAAGAAGGTCAGCTCGGTTGCCGTGCCAATTGTGCCTGATCACGAGCGAAGCAGACATACCGATTCAGAGCCAGAATGTATGCGTCCTTCTTCTCGTCGAGTTCTTTGATCTGCTCTTTCTCCTCCTTGGTGCGCTCAGCGACCGGAACCTTCTTCGAGCCGATGTGAAGCAAGACTTCGTTCTCGTTGATGTTGTTGAAGATGAGCCTCGCTGCTTCAAGAAGCTTGGGAGAATTCTCTTTCTCGTCTGGTTTGCTGATAGCTTTGAGGCGCGCAACGAGGACAGCGAGGTTGTCAGGATAGTCCTTCAGCAAACGATCCGCAAAAGCCTCTTTTTCGGCCTCGGGCGTCTTCTCTAGCAAGCCAGCCAGCAGCTCTGGGAGCTTCTTCTCCGTGCTAAGCTTGACACCTTCGTCAGGCTGCTGCTTTTTGGCAGTGGGTGGTACAACCAGTCTAAGCTCGCCAGAGCGACCCTCACATCCACCGTTCGCAGTGACATGACCAATCAGAATGTCACCAGGCTCAGCACCCTTCGGCACAGCATCGCCCTCCAAATTCGTGTCGATGACGAGCAGTTTCCTCTCGCCTCGGAGCAATTTGATGTTGCTGAAAGTAGAGGGTTTGGCTGAGCCGAAAAGGTCGACATGATCCTCGTACAAGTCCAACGAAACATCCTTGCCCAAGTTGGTGTCAACGCGCAGAGTAGCATTCTTGAGCTTCTCCAGCACTTTGACATCAGGATTCAAGAGCTCCACCTGGAGTGTGTAGTTGCCCTTCATGAGCTCCACCGTCTTTGATCCGCTGTAGACATCGTTAAATTCGACTCGCGTCTTGTTGCCGTCAAAAAGCTGCGAGAGCATCGGCACAGCCGAATCGTAGAGGTGGTTGAACAAAGGGACAGCATAGCTGACTTTCGCCTTTTCTTCCTTGATCTCGAGCGGGTAGGTGAGAACGAGCTCATTGATCTGCCCTCCTGCTGGCAGAGTATCGCGCGGGGCCGCCAGCAGGGGTCGCAGCTCAAAGGCCGTGGGTCGCACAAAGGTCCGGACCTTGTTGAATGAGAGGCTGGGCTTGAAAGTCTCGATACGCACATTGCTGGTGCACGACAACCTAGCGATGCCTTGTCCTCCAACCAAGGTCGTCTCGTCCCGACCAGGGGTCTTTGCAGCGCCAAAGTTGACGCCGTGGAACTCAATCTTGATGTCCAAATCGAAGCCGGCAGCAGAAGACCAGAATTGAGCCAAGCACATCTCCAGTGTGTGTCCACCGACAATCGGAAACTTCTTTGTCACTGGCTCGCCTTCGTTGAGCGCCAGCACGTAAGCTTGTTCGGCATCGGGCAAGCGAGCATGTGGAAGCACCTGCACACCATGGTACCAGAAGCGTACGCTTGTGCCCGATACTTGATGATTGGCAGATCGAAAGCTCAGCTCGGCCCACGTAGCTCCAGCAGGAACAGAGACGAAGCGTCGATCGACCTTTCCGTGATCCAATTTGACTTTGTCTAACACCACAGTAGGGTTGGGAGGCAGCGGCTTGGTGACGGTGACCGGAGCGTCAAAGAGGAGCCGCCCGGTGTTCGTGTCCCAAGCTTCTACGCGCGCAGTGTGGAGCTTGCCAGCCTCGAGGTCGGAGCAGTCCACCCTGACTTCGAAACCTCGACCCTTGCTTCCGATCCACACGTGCTCAGTAGTGGTGACCCATGGTGCCGTACTGACGATCGCAGCCGGCACTTGCAGCTCGTAGGAGCGCTGGGTCTCGCGAGGTCCAAATGTTGGCGTTGCAGTCAGAGTAAACTGACTCAAGCCTTGCGTCTGAGCCTCATCTCGTAAATAGATGCCCCGCTGGTCAGTTCCAGCACGCCCAGGTGGCTTGCCAGCAGGAGTCACTGCCACGCGCCACTCTGCATCTGCAACAGGGTCATCTTTGAGATCTTGCAGATGCGACCAGAGCTTCGCGACTTGGATGAAGCCTACACCCAGGTCATCGCGTACATCCTTGTTGCTTCCGCGCAGGGCTTTGGTGATTCGAGCGGCAGAGAATTTGGTGCCTTCTGCTAGCAAGCCGGAGACGATAAGGGCTACGAAGTGTGAAGCAACGGTCAGCAGCTGACTGATTCATGCTACCACGACTTTCATAGATGCTTACACAAGGCGCCCGCTGCGCTGGGAGAAGCCATTGAAGTTCCTGGCGTGGCCATCAAAGCGTAAGGTCAGAGTACGAGCTGGGAGAATAAACTCCAAAGCCGGCACTCACCGTTGGCCAGCATGGTGCTTTGAAGACAGTATCTCGGAATGCAGGTGATTGCCGCACCCGGAGCGTACGTGTCCACACCTAGGTCACCGTCGGCAACAGGGCCTCTGGAACACCAGGTTGTAGTGCTGCTTTTGATCCCATCTTCCAGGAGAGCGTACTCCGCCTTTAGCATCGAGCCAGCATCGACATACGCGCCGACAGTGATGACACCCGAAGTCGTTCCGGCCGGCTGGCCAAGTGTGCTGAGCGCAGGGCCAGAGTTGCCAGCGCTCGACACAAACAGACAATCATGCTCTCTGATGACAATGTCCCGCAGCTGCTCTGCGAAGAGGCCTTTGTTGTCTACGCCCCAAGCGCCGGATTCGCCGAAGGACATGTTGGCCACGGCGCAGCCGGTGTCGATAATAGCTCTGGCAGCCCGTACTAATGCCTTCTGCGTTTCCATCGAGCCCAAGCGAGCGTCACCGATCATCAAGCTGACCAGCTCACAGCCTGGAGCTCCTCCGTTCTGCTCAGGATCATCATCCCGTTTGGCTCCCACGATTCCGGCAACGTGTGTTCCATGCGAGCCACTGACCACGCAGAGACTGATGCCTGATGGCGCATGGGCATCTCCTTTGACCTGCTCGTTCTCCGGCGGCGGGATTTCGAACAAGAAATTCACGCTGTACGTGAGCAGGTCAATCTGGCCAAATGTGTCATGCTGCCTCTCCTTATGGAAATCGGTCAGAGCTGGTCTGGCCGAGAAGTCCAGCGTACTGTCTTCAAGCTTCTTGAGACGGTCGGGATGGAGGCCCTGTGAGGGGTCCCAAGCGGAGCCCTCCGCACCTTCGACAACAGCGCGCCAATTTTTGCCATCGTGCCACGCCACGACCTCGATGATGGGTCCTGGATCCGAGTAGGTGCTGGCGAGATCCTTGAGCACCTCGAGCTGCGCAGTCAGCTCCGCTTTGGCGGAAGCTCGCTGCTGCGCTTCAAGGTCATTCTTCTTGGCTTTGGTATCCTTGTCTTCAGTCTGCGTCTGCTCAGCACTCTCAGAGCCGGTGGTTACACCCTGGGCAGGGCCGTTGGAGAGCTGGTTCAACTCAAATTGGACACGCGCGCGCAGCTTTTCCTGCTCGACATCCCACTCCTTGCGACGCTCAGACTTGCGCCTCGCGATGAGATCTTTCGGCCAAAATCCGTACGCCGGCTTGGTGCCGACAAACCACTTGCCAGATGGATTCGTGAGGGACGAGCTGACTAGAAGCGCGCGCCCGGTGGTAGGCGATTTGAGACCAATCTTATCGGACGGCGCGTCTTGCGAAGGTTTGACAGCTTCGAGAGGAGTGTCACCAGAGCCAGCTGCAGTGACAAGAGATGGGGCATTGTTGAGGTTAGACTATTTGCTATCGCTTCTCACCTACTGGCACAAACTACTCACTGCAATCGATGACGTCCACAACCCTGCCTTCGAGACCTTTGGCTGCTGGATCCACCCCCGTGTCCAGGATCGCCACCCTCACGCCACGCCCATCATATTTGGGAAACTTCTCCAGGAAAGACTTAGCTTGAGTTGTCTCCTTAGGGAGCAGCCCCTCGACCGGAAAGGGAGTGATGGACTTGAGAGCTGGCATTGCGCTGGGGCTTCCAGGCACAGCAGAGACAGGCCGATACGTATCTGAAGGAATCTGCACTTTGACGCGAGTACTTGTATGCAATGATGCGGTGCGGGACTTGAGCTGAAGCTGGTGCCGATGTGATGGAGCAGATCTAATAGGTGCCGCTGCAATGACCCTTTGGGCCCAGATGCGAGATGCTGATGAGGTGGTGCAGATGGCAGTGGAGGGAAGCAGCGAGAAGCTTAGACGGCTGGGGTGCATCACCTCCTCGCTCAATCGCAGACTTTTAGTGGCAGTGGAAAAAATGTGCTACAGCAAGCGTTGCTGAATACGAAGGAAAGTGTGTTGGAGCAGTCAATGACTGGGGCGGTGTACCCAGCACTGAGCACAAGAGATGAGGGAGAGGCAGCGTGGCTCGGGAAGTCTGGGAGATGGTCGCCTGGACCGTGCACCTTCGCGGCCTGGGAGCACCCTGATGCATGACGCTTGCTGCGACGGGCTGCGCGGCGGGCTGGTGAACGTTGCGTGGGGCATGTACGGTACCAGACACTCATGACTGCGCAGGTACGCTCACACTCTCTTCCACCATCAGCGCCCAGCCAACTTGGTTGCAACGAAGCTCTGGTCTAATCGCGAATCAGCTGACCCGTATATAGTGCGATACTGGGGCATTTCGATCGAATTCACTGATCTGGACTGGTCTGGAAGAGAATGCGGGGCGACCGTACGAAAGCAAAGGAGCGTGGAGAGCGCCAGCCGGTCCACTGGAGGACTGCGGAGGGGGTTACGTGTTGGAAAGGCATGCATCCAATGGAGGTCGGCTTCTGTAATCGGAACTGTTCTCTGTATCAGGGGAATTTGTTGTGTGGCATCTAGAGACGATGCACGTCTATCCAAGTGTCTGTAAGGAATCTCGAGTCACTGACTGCGGAACTGTGGTGCCGTGGAAGCTTCGTCTCATCCTTTCCTAGACCTCGGAGCCTCCGCCCATCACGATGCCAAATTGCGCTTGGTTCGTGACGACTGGTAAAGGCTGGGCCTCCTTCTCTGCTTCGCACGGATGGATGTATCAGCGATAAGCTAGAAGATCTCCTCGAGCCACAGAGCGACTCACAATTCGCGGTACGCTTTGAGCCGATCTCGAAAGGAGAGCCCCACAAAGCCCAATCAGGGTGGATTGACCTGGCCAAGACGTCATCGCTCGCGCCGACAGAAGCGAGAGGGAAATCTGTAATGTAAGACATGTATGCGCGTTCGAGTCAGCATATCACTACACGTGGACCAGGTGCAGACGCTTCCCACTCACTCTGGCGCGAGACGATAGGAGTCTCGCCTTTGGGTGAGTCGAGCTCCAAAGCTCTCCTTTGCGGCGCATCTACAAAATCCACTCAAAAGTTGTGAGTGCTCTGCGACCTCAAACCACGAAGCCCCTGTCAAGACTCACCACCTTCTCCGCCTCCACCGGTCTCTGTGCCTGTGCCTCCCTCCTCCATCCCGCCTGTCAAGGCGCCTCCGAGTAAGTCGAACAAAGGGGCGAGGAGACCACCACCGCACCGTGAGTCAAGCTTGGCATCGGAACCTTCGGACCTTTTGCGGGCATCGCATCGGGAAAGCAAGGTATCGCGCTCTGCCGAGGTGTCAACATTCGTTGGTTTGACCGTTAGCTGCTCTGCATCGACCTCTCTCCGTCTCTTGCTCAAGCGGCTGCTTTGCTCACTCAAATTGATCCTTTTGCTTCCTCGACCTCCACGTTGGCCTCGCTTCTGTTTGCTGCCTATTTCGTAGCCACCACCGATGTTTACGGGCCAGTCGGCTTGGGCTCGATTCTTCCTCATCGTCATACGCTCCAGGGGAACGTCACGCTCTGCCAGAGATGAGCACCGAGATTCAGCGTCGATCCTTTCCCGCTTCTGGGCTCATAAGTGACTTAGCTTGAGAGGAGAAGGTATTACTCACTGTTCGCAGCTCTCCGGCCGATCTCATTCCGGCCGCCACCGCCAATCAGGCCGATCGCCCAGTCTCGGATGACTTTGTCCTTCACATTGGGGTCGAGAGGCGCAGTAGTGACTTCGCGCTCTGTGCGACACCATCGAAAACAGTGAGCGAAGATCGAGGGCTTCGGAGATGATGGAAAAGACTGACTGCTATGCTTGCCGTGATGCTCCCAATGCCCGCCTCCGCTCCTGCCTCCGCCAATGAGACCAAAGTCTGCCAAAGACAGCTTCCACGGTTTTCCGCCTTGAGGTGGAAATTGCAACCTGATGAGTCTCTGGACGCAGGCGAGGCGACATTGCGATCACTCTGATATCGGAACTCACCGTTGTGTTTTTGTGTCCGGCGTTCAATTTTCAATAGATGGTCAAGCTGCACTTCGCTCACGTCTCGTCGATCTTCGAAAGGGCAAGGTGATCACTTAGCCGGCACAGTCAGTAGCACTCCCATGTACTGACTGCACTTACGCTGAGAGCCTGTGTGCGGGTCATTTTTTGGCTGGGGCTTCGTCGGTGTACCTGTGAATATTTCGCTGTAACCGCCAGAACCTAAGAGGCCCCACTTTTGATCGCCAGCGCCGACGTCCTTGGACCTCTTCTCGCTGTTTGCACCCGAATTAACCAAGGGTTTGGTCTGCAGCGTGTTGCTGTTCGAATCCGCGGGTTGCTCTCGCTTGCGCGCGGGCGAATCAGCTGGATCGCGCCTCAGAAGTACTCCTTTTGGCGGGTCGAAGAAATTCTTTGAGAACAAGCGCCCTGAAGAGTCAGCTGATGGTAATTTCTCCACGGTGATGCATCGCGAGCCAAGACGTACTTTGGCAATACCTACGCCCAAATCAGCCGCAGGCTCGATCAGCTTGACAAGACTGCCAAGAAAGGGCTCACGCGAATCCAAGTCATCAATCACGACGACTCGGATATTGACTTCATGCGTTGAAGGGGAACGCCGAGTGAGATGTAGGCCAGGCAAGACTTTGCCAACGACCTTCTCAGCGAGTTTCTTCTGTTGTGCCAGACGATAGATCACAAAGCAGTTCAGAACCTGGACCTCACGTCACTGATACGATGTCAATCGACTACTCACCAGGGGTTTCTTGAAAGGGGCCAGAAGGAGCTCGACGAGTTCGAGTGCAAGGTCTCGCTTTTCCAAATTGTTGGCATCTGGCGGTCAATGGAAAAGCCAGCCCGGACCCACGGTCGCTTCGGTCAACATCAACCGTCGTGAATAGAAGTCTTGATACTCACCTTTTGCAAGGGTCAGTGGGACCGCGTGGGTGGGTGTAGTTGCGCACAACAGCAAGAGGCCGGCCAGGAAGGTTGTTGCTACCACCCTGCTAGTCCTCATGGTGTCGGAGAAATGGAGTAGTGAGAGTCGTCTAGTTTTGAAGTAAGTAGTGAATGGTACGCAGAGAGGAACAGAGGTAATTTAGAAGATCAAGAGAAGAGCCACAACCAACTTCGAACACGACACGAGACAGCCACCAGATGAGGACTGGAAAGACCTACCTCGAAGAGTGAGTAGGGGCCCCTTTTATGCGTCTTCCTGAAAGTCGGTCTTTGCGAGTGACCCGCGCTAGCAGATCCTGTCACCTGTGCGGATGTCCGATTGACATGCTGACCTCACCAAGCTGTGGGTCACTCGTACGCCGACTTGGCGTTTGATGGACCACGGGCTTCAGGGTCACCCGCACAAAATTTGGTTCTTCGGAAAGTTTCTTTAATTTGAACTCGGCGCATCAATACCGTCAACGTTGGGTGACCGAGGAGACAATTACCAAATGTGTTTCGTCTTTGCAATTCGTGTCCGCGGGCGCCTACCTCACAGCAGGCCTGCAGAACAACTTTAGGAAGACGCAGCACCTGTCTGCGCGAACCTGCGCCTAGCTGCTCATGGTGGATGAAAGCCGTCCTTGATTATGGGAAGCCATTGCACATCTTCTTGACCTCAACATGGCCTCCAACAGCCCCTTGGTGAAGCGAGCCATGGACACGCCCTATTTGGTAATGCGCAGTCAGGGGATGACCGGCTCTTCCCCTGGAACGCAGCCGCCATTTCCTGGTAGTCGCGGTGCCCTGCTCGTCAGATACGTGAGCTTGGCCAAGCTCTGAGATGCCTTTGGTCCACTTCGGGTGCTTGTAGCCGCGCACGGCTCCTGCAGAGGCTTGACTGGACACGACTGTCGGCCGCGAAGAAGCATGCAGTCCTCAGAACCTCAGTCGAACCGGGGTAAAGATCAGCTGAAGAACACCCGACAATCAGGGCGGCGGCGCGCGCGGACGCTAATGTACGCCATGGGCCTCAAAGGTCCGGCGCGCAAACACGATCGGAGCTTGTTATATCGGTGTTTCCTTCTGATTCATGCTTCGGAGCTCAGCATCTGATTAGGTAGCAATGGTGCGCACTGCTTCTTTTGAACACTACTTTGGAGCCTTTGCAACATGACGCAGCTCACCGAGTGCACATGGAGCAGCAAGAAAAAGGACACATGAGCTCTATATTGCGACCACTAGATGGTGTTACCAGGAAACTATAATACAAGGCAAAATACGCGAGCAAGTTTCGGGCAACACAAAGTGGGGGGGCAGGTTCGTGGTGCGCGGACACCTTCACCAGCTGCTGGGTGCATCGCATATCTGCAAGAACCCTCGGTCAGATTGTACCATAGCCCGGCCACCCTGACGTTGCTATAGTTGTTGTGCACAACACGATGACAATTTGTCCCCGGCAACACGAGATGTTGGAGCGGCCAGGAAAGCAATCTAGACCGCGTCGCGAGCGTAGTTCGAAGCCGCTCTGAGCCGAGGTCCATACTTCCAAAACAAGAAGGGCGAGGGAATTCCGAGGACGGCAGCAAGAACTGCAATGATGGTGCCACCAACACCGTAACCCAGGTCGCCGAATAGTGCAGGCGCAGCAAGTGGAAAGGCAAAAGCTGCAATGTTGCGGGCGAGATTATTGGCCGAGAGTACGCTTGAGGCATAAAGTTGATAGCAGTCCACCAGGTACGCTCTAACGGTAATGCTCGTCATCATGCCTGTTGCACAATTGGAGAGGACCATAGGTCTCGTCAGCGTTGCAACGCAGCGACTCGGAGCAACCTCTCCGGATGTCTCGGCCGGCAAGGGAGCAGCATCGCCTGCGTCCGTGGGTTCTGCGCAATCCCAACACCGTGCCGCAGATGCGTGTGCGTGTCGGACTTACCAAAAGTAAAGACAGCAGCGCCAACGTCTGGTCCAATCCAGTGAGTGCGTCCGGCAGTGAAGGCGTAGATGAGCATGCCGATCGGGATAAGAAATGACTGCACCATCATGATTGGCAGCTTGTATTCCGGTATGCCGACGCCACCATGTCGTGCTTGCAATTTCTTGTACACGTGGTCCGTCATCCGACCACAGGTCAAGCTACCAACTAGACAGCCGACTGATAGGGCAATATAGTTGAGCGACGCGATTCCAGGCTTCATACCGTACTCGTTGACAAAAAGGCCGTCAAAGGTCGTAATGAGGATGTACAGCGTACCATAGAGTAGAGCGGAGTAGAGAGAAAACACGATCACCAGAGGTTGTGTTGTAAGCATGACTACCGGGCGCTCCAGGTGTCGACTGAAACGCGCGGCCCATCCACCGGCAGCAAGGTCCTGCTGAATCCACTGCGTGGTGTACCGATGATCGCCAGTCTCCTTTCGCTGGCGTGCAGCTTTGAGGGCAAGAATGCGAGGTGGATAAGATTCCCGAAGAAGGAAAAAGCCAATGACGGAGAAGGCTGCTGTACCGATGGCCACAACACCAAATGTCCAGCGCCACTCTTGAAGCTCTTGCACGATGAAGCCACCAATGATAGGCCCAACACACGGTCCGAGTAATGGGCCCATGGAGTACAATGACATGGCTGAGCCACGTTGCTCGTTGGTAAACATGTCAGAGATGGATCCACCACCGACGACCAGGGAAGCAGATCCACCGAGGCCTGCCAGAAAACGAAACGCGACTATCTGTGCATAATTTTGTGCTACACAGCAGGCGATCATAAAGATGACGAAGAAGACCTGAGAAGGTTGACGTGACGGAAGTAAGAATGATGGCCAGGGAGCTTCAGCACAAATTGCGGCCCTCACCGTGGTAATCTGCAGCACCAGCGTACGGCCATAGACCTCGGAACTAGACAAGGTATCATGATCAGCAGAACGGTCAGCTTCAAGATTCATGACAAGCCGATGCATTGCTCACATAGGTGCGAGGACCAGCGGACCAAGAGCGAAAGCAAGGACGAAGATTGACAGCATAAGCTGTGGTGAGTTGGGTCAATGTTGTTAGTCCAGAAATTCTGTTACTCGAGTTCCCCTCTCGGTCCAGTAGAGTGCTCACATTACGCTGTATCTCGCTGGTGACACCAAATTCCTCCGCCATTTCCGGCAGAGCAGGCGCGCACACGCTAGAGCCGACAGCGGCCAAGAGGGCGTATATGGAAATGAGATTGACCACCGACCATTTGCGAGCTCGTGACCAGTTGCGCGGATTTTCGAGCGATTCAGGCGAGTCCCATGTCACCAGTATAACGTCCTTTGCTTGCCCAGGGCCCTCTTCTTGCGATGCCGTCGCTTCCAACTTTTCGACATCAGAACGAGCCTTTTCTGCATTTGGCGACTGACGGCTCTCGGCCGCTTTGTCCTCACTTTTGACCTCGCCATTGCTCGTGGGTGCTGCATCCCCTACTGTCGTAGACGTGCGTGACAAAGTCGGTGAACGAGGATCAAGTGTCGTGCTGACTTTGGTTGCGGCAGCATCGACAAGATCCTGAGTCTCATCAGAGTCTCGGGGGTCTGACTGCGCAGGGACAGCGACCGCTGCTGCCTCTAAATCTCGCTCTGTTCGTGACATCTTGATTTGATCGCTTATTCGTTGCCGTTGCGAGTGCCAGAAGCGATCGATGGTGCTGGTGATGCCTCGAGGCAAAAGAGAGACACGCCGGTCGAGCACTTCGTAATAGAGACGCTTTTCCGTACCTCTGCAGTCCTTGGTATTGCACTTTGACTGTTACGGGACGTTCTCGCCTTCTGCTGGATCACTCTTGAAGATTATTTCCCTTTGCTCTGCGCTACAATGAATGCTCTGAAGGTGCTGGTTGAACGCAGAATCGTCGATGGTGAGTGTGAGAAGAGAAGCAGCCTCACCTCGTGCATTTTGTCCATCGTTCACACGCTTTGTCCCAATGTCCGAACATTGCCTTTGGAAGACACAAGCAGCTCACACGCGGCACGCCAAGCCCGCCTTTACGGTATAGGCGTCAATATCTAGCTGTTAAGAATGCGCCTAGACGCAAATGCTCCTGCAAGCTTTGAGGTCGAAAGGCTCCAAGGCGTGCTATAAGCTTGAATGGCTTGCGAGCGGAACGCGCATCTTGCACAACCAAATTGCCTCCGATAGACAAGGTTCGACCCAACGCAGCATAGTTCTTGGCAAGCAAGGCTGCAGCAATCCCTCCAAATTGCCTGTCCTTTTGATGCTCGCAGTGCTCGCACCCGTCATTCTAGCAGTATGCACAGCCAGGACCGGAGCAGTCATTCGTGACTTCATACTGACTGGCCAGTTTTCCAAATCAGTGATTGGACCGATGAGCGTTGACCGATCATCGGATCAATCAGGGACGAAATTTGGATCCAAAAGGGATATTCAGGGAAGGATTCAGGAAGGAACTGCTTCCTTGCCTTTGCCTTCATGACGTCTGATCTACGCGAAAGTTTGGAGCTGCAAACCTGGGTATTCATTCACGAGCTGCAGCGGATCCTGCATGACGGGAGGACATGCACCCGAAAAGCCCGCATCTCTCGCTGCTGCTGCTCTCGTGCAACATCAAGCGCGATGCTGCTATAGCGCTCGCACCGCCCTTTATTCCGCTTCTCTCTGCACGTGTGCGGGCAAACCACGTACGTCACCTGCAAACACCGTCACTTCGCGGCGTCTTTCGGTTCCGCCGCTGACGAAGGTCAAACACATATGCACGTCTTGCTCATGCCTAACAAGATTCACATTTAGCTCGTTTCCAAATGAGATGGTGGCGTCTTGGCCTGCAGTTTGCAGCTTTCAAATGCCAATTAACACAGCGTCAGGCCGCACGCATCGCACTCATCGCGCCGACCACGACGCATCTGCTTTTGTCTCTTATCTCCAAGTCGATGTCACTACACTGACTCTTGAGGGACTGCAGCGGCAACGAAGAATCACCAATGCCTATCTGTCAGCCCGAGGAGAAGCTCAGCCTAATCAATTTTCATGCAAGTATTGGCCGCACCCCTGCTGGTCGGGCAACGCGACCGCCCGGGAACGGTGACGTACGTTCGGAGTTTGGATCACGAATCACAGCTGCGAGCGACTACGTCAGTCTCTACAACGAACGACGCCAATGTCGTGAGCACTCTTGACCGCGCGCTGAAACAAAGCAGGCCAAGCCTTGCTAATTGGCAACCTTGCAGACAGCAGTGCAGACCCAGCGCGAGTCGACATAGGCCCGCTCAACACAGTCGAGAGGAATGGAAGTCTTGAGTGTACCCTCCGATTGAAGAACCGCAGGTTAACTTGTGTCCCGTCTTCATAACAGCCGTCGGTCCGCGGCGACTCGGCGACAGTGTACCGCGGTATTCACGATAGCGATCAACATTCGAGATTGTGACAGACGTTTGCAACGCGCGCGAAGGGGACCCTGATCTGGCAGGGCTTACCCACGGTCTCGATCAAGTGCGCTTTCTTTCGGCTGTCACATACCGGTCAATGTGGAAGAAGTCGCGGCCAGAGTAGTGTCAGCCAAGAACTCGTGAGTGCGACTAAGGATCAGATTGGGGGGACATAATCCCGTAATTGTATCGAGAGGCCTGCTCCTTGGTTTAGTCGTGAGTCCGCTTGGATGTCCGCCAGCTCGTGGTCTAGGGTCGCCACGGAACAGCAGTCGCTCCTACGGTGTGCAGCGGTAGACAATTGTCGTGCGGCACGTCGAACGGGACTAGGAAGTGCGAGTGCACGTTCGAGACCAGCAAGATACCGCTGTGGCATTTCGTTGTGCATGCATACGGTTGAGAGCGACTAAAGCTTCTCGAGTCAAGTGCAAGGGCTTATCCAGTCGTAGGGCGCAGCAGACAAGGGTGTTTCCAAAACTGGAACCCTTGTCAGGACTCCAACACGCTCGGTCCAACATGGACTGTGTGCGGTGATTTCGCGCGATCCGATCGATCAACAGCGCGAAGGGCTCCTGATGTTGGTGGTGACTTGGAGCGCTCTCCTCCTCTGCCCGCGGGCCACTGAATTGTCGCTTCGAGTCCGACAATGCTTCAACGAGTCTGCGAAGCTCGTGCTTCATGACGAAAGTTGCTCGTAGCCGTGATCAGCGATCCAGGTGTCGACTGAGACTGGCTATGCTCTCGCTGTTGGCCTGCCTCGCATGCTTCTGCTGCAGCGGCCAGTCTAGATGAAGCAATCAGCTTTCATCTATGCTAGCCAAGCCCACTTTGACTACGCACCTTGAAGACGCTAGCAAGCTGCGGATGAGGCGTGGCTGTGGGCGTGGAAGATAACCATGCGCGCCTGCATGAGGAAGCTGCGAGCCATGCGCCCTGCTGCGCTCGGACTCTTTCACCAAGTGCACTCACTCGCACTCGCGTCGTTGCTGCAAGGTAAGTTTCTACGTGCATGAGATCCCGGTAGCTTACGAACCATGTCATCTCAAGTTTCTCTACAGTGCACCCATCTCATCCACCGCTGCACAGCAAGGGTTTCCAAGGCGCCGCCGCAACCTCTCAACTCAGCTTCCTCCGATGCTTGTGACGGACTGCAAGTGAGCGCACGAGGGCAACGTGCGGCCCTCGACGAGATCGTAGCGATGCGGGAGTGGCCACCCTTTCGATCGACCTGCGCAGGCGGAGCAACGAGCATCCTCGCACGCAATGAAATCACAGACGCAGAGGGGCGGACGAAGAGTGCTGGCTGCGATTGGATATCACTGAAGGGCACAGATCTCTTCCTGCAGCTTCGACTACCCTCTTTTCGGTGGAAGTGCTGACCCAGCTGCATCATTGATCGAGGCTCAAGGAATGGCCGGGTGTCGTACTCCGCTGCGATACCGTCCGTCTTGCGTGATCCATTGCGTACCGCACAAGCCGCGGAAGCATCATCGCAACACCAATGGTGCGACATCTGCGCCGGCCTTGTTCAGCTCTTGTGTTACACACAGAGACAATACAGCGCGCACTGCGGCCAAGAGTCACTAATGCATCTTTGCAACGCCATCCAAGGAATGCAAACTTTCTTGTTGCTGTGGACCAGGGTATCATTGAGGGACGAGATAGGGCAATAAATGCAACGGCTATGCGTGCTCGGTCCAAGAGCTATCAAGGCGCCCAATCGGAGCGATTCTGTAGCAGCGACGGGTGATTCGACGGATTGTTTCTACGCCATTCTCACTTGTCTAGCGCCAATTTCAGTGCCCAAGGTCGGACTTGGCTCAATTTCACCACGGAGCCAAGTCTTGTAAATGGATGGAGGGCATGACAGCGGTCCAAAATTGTGCGGGTCGCTCAGGATAGAAACACTCCCAGCTCAGCTTCGAGAGTCATGACTAGGCGTGAGCAACGTTTGGAAACGATCCCTCCAGGGTTGCCATCTACGTTCCCATCAGCTAACCTACTCGGCGTTTGAGTCGCAAATCACCAAAAAAGATAGGGGCAGCTTCGTCCTGCTGCCGTGCTGTGCATCCTCGAAGCAGCACCTCCGAGATCTTATAAAGACCCGCCTCGCTCCTCGAAGGTTGCCTTGCCCCTTCACCAGCTCGTAGCTGCACCCACTAACGTCAACTCCCTCTCTCACGACCGATCCGCTCCCCACTCACGATTCGCAACCATGATGGCTCTTACTGCCACTCTTCCAGCAACTCATCTGCAAAGTGGCGTTCAAACCACCCCCGATGGCCAGCAGTGGATTCCTATTCCCGAGCCCACCCCCGAGCTCTGGAAGAATGGAAGGACTTACCACGCTCGACCAGAGCAACCCTTGACGGTGGCAAACCTTCCACACTTGCACGGTGACCGTGAAGCATTTTCCCTTTCCGTCGACGCAACGGAGCAACTCCTCACCAATCTTGACAAGCGCCTCTCTTGGAAGGATGTGGAAGCATTCTATCCCATGAGTGACGTCTGGGCTTTCCGCCGCGTAAAGCGACCTCGCAGGTGAGCGCGCGGAGTTGACAATCGTACCTCGGATCCTAGCTGACGTCGACTCGCTCTATTCCATCTGACAGCGGTACCCACCGTCACGAGTACATGATCAAAGGCAGCACATTCCAGCTTCGTCAGGCGCTCATCTACGCGCTGGAGCGTAACGAGATGATGCGCAGCGCCGCAGTGCCTTGCAACAAAGACGTGCCCACCTATACTTCCGTCAACCCTTACCCCTTCCCTCGCATGCACTACGCCGTCCTTCGCGGCCACGCCGAGACATATGAGCACCTTATCGACGAAGTCGAGGTCGACAATTTGGCAGACGTCACCGACATCAAACACGGCAACGGTGAAGATGGTGGCGATCTTCAATTCCCAGGCTTCATGACCGCCTTCACCATCGTCACCAGTCGTAACTCCAAAGAGCAAGGCATGTGCGCGCTTCACTACGTCATGAACCATGCCGTCTTCGACATGGCGTCTCTGCACTACTTCTTGCGCGACATTGATGAGCGCCTTGGTGGTATGGAGCAGCCACGCGACACTGCTGCACTCTCTTACGGTCCTTACGCGTACTGGCGCTACGTATGGCCCTACACCGATGAAGGAAAGGCCGCCGTCAACTTCCACCGTGAGCGTCTTACCGGCCTTCAACACTCCGCCAAGGCCTGGCCACCCGCACGCACCACAGGTTGGATGCGTGGCAACGACGAGGGATGGCTCACCAAGGACAACCAAGATGGTCATTCTACCACTAACGATCGTCGACCACTCGCTCCCACTGGCAAGGAGCAAAAGGGCAAGTCCGGCGACTTCCGAGCTATTCGAGTTCCACACATCCTGAAGCTACGCAAGGAGCACGGCATCGCACCCGCCAAGGCCATCAAGACTGCCGTCGCGCTTTTCCACGTCAAAGAGACCGGTGCCTACGAAGCCGTCTTCTCTCAAGCCGAAGGCGGCCGCATGGCCATCGACGTTGACGGGCTCGACTTCAAGGGCGCTCGCGGCCCCATGGTCGAAATGGTCCTCAACCGTGTCGCCATCCCTTCGCAGAACGAGACGGTGCTTTCGCTCTTCAACCGTGTCCAAACTCAACAGGCGGCTCTGTCGAAGCACTCGCACTACCACCGTGGTCAACTCGTGCAAGAACTCGAGAAGACCGGCGATGCGCATCAGTTCGAGTCTTGCGCACCTCGTTTCCACTACAACTGGGCGCCGAGAATGCCACCCACATCCGATCGCATCAAGCTCACCAAATTCGAGGGTCGCTCGGATCTCGGCATGGCTCTCGTCTATCGCCTCAAGGGTGACGACGAGCTCGTCATCGAGCAGTCTTGGGACAACGCTCAGCTCAAAGAGGAAGAGGTGGAGCGCACCACGCGCCGCATTCTTGCTGCCGCAAAGTGGATATGCAATCCCGAAAACTGGAACAAACCTATCGGTGAATGCGATTTCGACGCCCACGACGACGCGTACGTGTATCAAGGACTTCCTTGAGCCGTGCAAAGCATCACGATACGCATGTCATCCCAAGTCTCCCCCCCATTTCAAACTGTTCCAATCGTCGCTCAACACTGTACATGTACTGCGCGTTACCTAGCAAATAGAGTTTGGTGAAATTAACACATCCTTCGACGAAATATAGGCTGTCTACGCCCACATCTAATGACCGTGTGCTCCCGCGCTACTCTGGCGAGAGCACCTCGAACGTGAAGTGCGATCTCGCTGCCTTTGCTGGGGCGGGAGACCTCCATGCCTCGGCGACAGATCAAGGGCACCAAGTGGGTGTCGAGCCCGCCAGACCGCCTCCTGAGGACCTTAGGTGGCCACCTCCTCGAGTGTTGACAGCCAATGCTTTGTGGCAAATCGCAGCTCGTGTGTTTTAAGCCCACGCTTCGCTAGACCACTGCGCAAGAAAAAAGCGCCGGAGCTAGTGCCCTTCCGCAGCAGCGCCAAGCAAGCATCACTGCATGCTGCACGGAGCAGTCTGAGCGCATTATAGAGTTGGCCTCACGAGCCATTTTGCTGAGATGGATCGGCGAGCTTGTACGCGCAGGCAGTGCTGCATCTTTTGTCCTGCAAGATCGTCTGGCTGCTCCGTGCAAGAACGACCGGTTACCTCGCTCAAGATACGAAGCTGATTTTCGCAGCTTCGCGCGACCTGACTCGAGATTCGGCGCTTCGGTGTCTGGCTTCCTACGAAAATCAAGCTCGAGATTCTCCTGGCATGCGCCGTTTGACATGCGCCAGCGCTAATGCGCTGAAAGCCGCGCAACGACAGCGTCGTCTTAGCGGCGAGCCTCTAGAGCGCTCGAAATTCTGGTTGGGCTAGATGGCACTCCTGGTGTTGCGCAAAGTCGGGTACCCTCATAGCGGCCACGTTGCCGGCTCAAGCTCACTTGCCGGCTGCATCGCTTGTTGGCCTGTCCAACCGCCGAAGAGGTGTGGCGAAAGTTTCGAACGTCAAGGACTGAACATCTTTTGCGATGTGAGCCCAAGGAGACTAGCTCGACCGATGCATGGGAAGACAACCCATTTTGGACTTGAGAATCGAGTTGCAGTAGCCTCGGGAGTGGACTTCCGCCAAATGTTTCGCGGAGCTGAGTAAAGTTCAGCGCACTTGTGACTGCTGAGATATGGGCCTGCGGATGTCTGCATGTCGGGAGATGTAGATCGTTCGTTGCTGAGGGCACCTTGCCACCGGCCCACGCGTTTACAGAAACGTCATCGATACTCCATCTGCTTGTCTGAACACGTTTGCTTTTGCAGATAGAGTATAGAGCTTCAGCCCCTTGCTTTGCGGTTCTCGAACGCCGTGTCCACGAACATAAGCCGCTACACAGCTCTGCAATGACGGCGCATGCTGCTTTCGGATGCTGCGTCAAAAAGTCTTTGACCAGCAGAAGTGACAGACGTCCAGGCTCCGGGAGATAGATAGAGGGACAGCGATTCAGGTCATGTTCGGACAAGACACCGCTTTTGTCTCCCTGCTTGCGATCAGCTCAAAGCGAAGTCAGAGACCAACTCGATCCACTCACGTGACAACATCAGGCGGCCAGGACACCATTTTGCGTCGATTTCCCAATCACGAACATCCCTCGGGCATTCTTTCTACAGCATCGCATTGACCGGCGTGTACGCGTCGGGCGGTGTGAACTGTAACGATCTACTGAAACAAGAAGCTAGCAGCAGCATCGACGTTGCCTCCAGCGGCATCGAGCAAAGCCACGGCCTGTTGATCTGTTGCGCCAAGGTCTTTCAGAGCTTGAATTGACTCGGCGGGCCACTTGGCTCCCGCATTTCCGGAAGCAGGAGTCGCAGAAGGTGCGGAGGCTGAAGACGCGGCAGCTTGGGTGCTCGAAAGTGCGTTTGTACTGCCTGAGGTGGCAGATGAAAGCCCTACGCCTGAGACGGGCTGAGACCCAAGGGTAGCTCCGCTTCCAGGAAATTGTGGTGGAGTAGGGCGAGTACCAGGCGCGGACGCTGAAGTGCCATCGACACTTCTCCCTGCTGCGCTCGCCTCAGACTCTTGCTCCTCTGCAAAGAGACGGGCATTCTTGGGAAGCTGAAGACGACAAGCTCAAGTCAGCCTCTCGGAAGGAGAGCGTCCGCTCGTTGCTGCCTCACCTCATGTTCGTCCAAGAACCGGATTTTGCGCTGCAATTGAAAGACAGTGCTCGAATTAAGTAAGGTGCTCCTTAGCGCTCGATCCCGAGGCAGCCGGACGTACGCCATTGATGATTAGTGCGTTCTGTCCAAGGTCTATGCTGGCTTGGTAACGCTTGAGCATATCTGTGCATAGTATGGATCGAGTCGCATTGGTACGCTCAGCACCGTGCACCTTGGAACCTGCACTAGCTTAACTCACCTAGACCGAAGAGCAGATCCACGTCCTTCCCCTCGATGACAGTGAGTGAGACAGGCAGGTACAAGTCTTCCAACTTCATCTGTGAATGGGGATGACGACGCTTTAGCTTCATCAAATGCAAACGCTTGATGTTGTGATGCTCCTCGTCCAGCTCACCTGTGCTGAATGAATACGACCCAGAATCTTGGCTGTTCCAACACCCCGCGCGATGCCTGAGAACCTGGTGTCCAGTAACCTCTTAATCCCGCACTTCTCGGCACATTCTGGGCTCATGATCGTCATCTGAGCGCCGCTGTCCACAAAGGCCTTCAGCGGTGTTCCATTGATTTCAGCCTGAACGTAGAGCATGTTGACGCTCCCAAAAGCTTCTGGCATATTCTCCATGGCCGATTCGAGGTTCTCGTAGACTTGCTGTTGGCGGATGGCCTCTTCTATCTTCGCTTGAGCCTCCACATCAAACTCGTCTGCTGCTGCTAGCTCCATCTCGGCCTGCTGCTGCCGGCGTGCCGCCTCATCTGCTTTTTGGCGCTCTCGCCGCAATTGGCGTAGAAACTCGGCGGGCGACTCGAGAGCGGCGTGAAGATCGGGTGAAGTCTGTAGAGAGAGAAAAAGATAGACCTTTGAGCATACAGATAGCTTCCGATACGAAAGCCCTCATCTAAACTGCTTCTTACTTGTTTGACCTGTTCCCTCATATGAGAGTTGCTCAAGACTTGTTGACGCAATTGCTCTGCAAATTGCTCCTCACTCCTGTGAACAACAAAGGTCAATCAGCGTGAGTCACATAGCAAGACTGACGGATTTTAAGCTATACCTATGATGTAGTCATCAGCACGTTTTCTTGATCTCATGGCACTCACTCTCCTCCCGCACCTGCTTGGCTCTGACCTCCCCTTTGACCAGCTGCTCCACTGCTGCTGGCCTGTCCCGTGGGATTCTTGCCAATCACGAGTAAGGAGTCCTGATTGAGTCCTTGTGACTCATAGCTGTTCAGCTTCTTCGTGGGATCCAGGGGCCGACCATCGAGTAGTACAGCCTGTTCTTCGGCGGGGATGCCTATCTGGACGCACGTCGGACAAGCTGATGCGTGAGCAGTGTCACGAGAGGTAGAGCGCGTTATATGCTCTATGACTCACTACATCTTGGACCTGCTCACTGAGGTCCTTGACTGTACTTGAAAGGTTCACTTCGACCGGGAAGGAGTCGAGATCCGTGACGATGACTACCATCTTCGCAGATGGTGCGTTCAGAGAGGTCTTACTGCTCCGTGTCCAAGTGGAGGTTCGATCTTGCGCGAGTCCCTGCAACTTGTATTGCTCTTCGAGGTCAATACGTGATCATATGAACTAGAACGCTGACGTGGTCTACTGGCGTTGAATGACTCAGTTGTTGTGGACGAAGCAAAAGCGGGTGCTCGCAACTAAGGGCAGGGCGTGCTTCGATCGCTGCGCATCCTGTGCGGGCTAGCGCGTATGATTGCTGCCTTCCCCCGCGAACGCAACGCGCGGCCCGCTCCACATCAAAGCCGTGCGTCTCCCGGCCGGTAGGTGTCACACACGACTACAGTAGGCCAATTTTTGGACTCTGCCCAGAATGAAGCTACTGCCGGTCAACCTGGCTCTTGTTCATGCCTCAATAACCTATTCATCGCACAATACAGGTACAACCCACCCGGATTTCGCTTCACATGCCTTGAAAGCTTCCGTGGACACGACTTGTCTCGCTACAGGCTAAGAATGGCTCAATTTCCGCCAAGTGGACCCTCGGTCCCACACATAGATGCTTCTTCAGTGCCCAGCGGCCCGAGTAGCAGCTCAACGCTACCAGAGCCTCCCAAGGCCACTTCGATCTTGCTCATAGGTATGGCAGGCAGTGGCAAGTCGACCTTTGCAGGAGCTTTGTCGCGTTTTGCAACTACCTCTGAGTCTGTTCCAAGCAAAAGCAAGGATGAGGAAACGCAGCCTTACATGGTCAATCTGGATCCTGCTGTGCTCAAGACAGGCTACGAACCCAATGTCGACATTCGGGACACGGTCGACTACAAAAGGGTCATGGAAGAGTGGGTGTCGTCGGATCTTGCGCCTGCGCTGGCCCTCTCATCTGGGCTGATAAGCAGCCTTCTCGCTCCTCGCTCACTCGCAGATACAATCTGGGTCCAAACGGAGGCATTCTCACTTCCCTTAACCTCTTCACCACAAAGTACGACCAAGTACTATCCATCTTGGAAAGAAGGGCGCAAGAGGTGGACTACATCGTGCATGACACGCCTGGACAGATTGAGATCTTCACTTGGTCAGCGAGCGGGTCTATCATTACTAGCGCTCTTGCCAGCTCTATGCCCACTTGCGTGGCGTACGTCATAGATACACCGAGGACAACAGCTCCAGCTACTTTTATGAGCAATATGCTCTACGCTTGCTCGTGAGTTGCTGGACTTGGGTGCACCTGATGGCCTCACGCTGCTTCCGGGGCTAAAACTCGTACTTGTCGACGTCTTCCGTACAGGATCATGTACAAAACTCGTTTACCCTTCATTCTAGTCTTCAACAAGACAGATGTCCAGCCCAGCGCTTTCGCAACCGAATGGATGTCGGATTTTGAAGCATTTCAAGCAGCTTTGAACGAAGGAAATGCAACAGAGCCTTCTTCTGTAGCCACTAGCAGACCGGGTTCTGGAAGGAGGAGGACAGGAGAAGACGCTGGGTATATCAACAGCTTGATGAACAGCATGGCTTTGGTTTTGGACGAATTCTACAGCAATTTGAGGGTAAGTTCAGCCTAAGCGGGCACTATCAGACGTTGCGAGGATTATGCTCAGTCATGTGTGTTCCGCCTTGCAGACCGTTTCTGTGTCATCAGTGACAGGCGAAGGTCTGCCTGATTTTTTCAGTGCAGTCGATGAGGCAAGGACAGAGTACTTAGCAGACTACAGGCCCGAATTAGAGAGACTAGCCAAAGCTAAAGCCGAAGCGAGGGACAAGAAGAAGAAGCAGGAGCTGGAGAGGTTGATGAAAGACATGAAGATGGGAGGTGCAGCGCCCAGCAGGGGAGGAGTCAGTAGTACGGCAGGCGCCCAAGAGGAAGATGAGGGATCATATGGGGACAGGTACGAAGGTGATGGGCAGATCATCGATCCTGTGAGTAGTAAGACCCTGAATACTGAAGGCATAGACTAGAGTTATACTCAAGCCTGCGATCATCGGCACGCAGGACCCCGATGAGGAAACTGGCACAGACGCTATGGGCTGGAAGAACCTGAGGTCCCAAGCTGAGCAGAGGCAGACGGGGCCTGGAATTGCCACTTCGGCACCCACAACCAACTCATTCAACGACGGAAAATGGCCAAGCATTAGGTGAACGAATCATTCACAGTCCTAGCTAGTCTTGCGATCACCGTTGGAGCAGTCGAGCTTCCTCTCATACGCGTCATAGCTAGTCTTGCGATCACCGTTGGAGCAGTCGAGCTTCCTCTCATACGCGTCATAACTGGACATCCACGCCCTCCCTGCTCGAACGCATTCTGTTCCATCGACTTGTGTATACGATGTGACGCGTCGTCTTGACCCTCAACCCCAGTCACAGCTCAGTCAAGGTCGATCCTTTGTAGACAGCGCATACAGCATGCAATGCCTTCCGCAAAGGCGTAGTAATGTGACGAAGATAGGCATTGCGCAGCGAGGCGGTACGTGAGGGATCATCGACGTTACGACCAAATGAAGCTTGCAAACGAGCCCGCTGCCAAACCGATAGTGAGCCAGAAAGCCAGGATCGTACCTGCTAGTCTGTTCATGGAGCGGAATCAGACGGCGTAATGTGCTTGTCAGTCGCTTTGCGCAGAACGGACGCATCATCGGTGTCTGATACTAGGCTCATCCACTCACGCTCGCTCGTGATCTTTGACTCCTTCTCGACGTGGTCCTACGATCATGATAGAGGTGCTCAGGATACCGTTGGACAATCCGAGCAGCAGGACAAGTACGAAAAAGGTCGCGTCTCCCAGCCTCGGCCTTCTTTCTCTAGCGACTGCAGCCCAGAGTCCGTCGTCTGAAGCCGCAGTGCTCGCAGCGGCTGTAGTGGCTGCGCGAATCGCAAGGCTAGCAATCGAGCCGATTCGACCTGATGCCGGCAGAGCCAGCGACGCTGAGGTGGCCCCTGCTGGTTTTGTGGCTCCTTGACGGCTCACGTTGCACATGGGCATCATGCCCAAGAAACCTTCCCTCATGCCTGCCCAGAAAATGATGGCTCGTCGGCTCTCCAGCAAGAAAGCTTTAGGCAACAATGAAGGCAAGAGTCGGCCCAGCAGGTCGGAAGCGTTGAAGACCAAGTAATGCAGGGCCACAAAGATCAGAGGATCTGTGGGTTTGAGATGATCGAGGGTCAGCAGTGTGTTGATTTGGCTGACACGGCACGGAGTGCTCAATACTCACCTCTCCATAGCGGCTCTGATTCCGAGGGACTACCACCTGCATCTCTCGGCCATGGCCTGACGCGACTCGTAAGCGCAGGAAACAATGCCAGCGTGACTGTGAAACACCAAGCAATCGCTACGCTCAGTGCGACGAGCTGGCTCTGGACAGCCCTGAGACTGGCCGCAGTTGTCCTCCACTTGCTAGGGATGAATCGTGCAAGGCCTGCACCAGACTCCCAGCCCTTCGCCCTTGGGTCCGCAAGCTCGGGAGTGGTCGCTGGCGAAGGATCCGAGCTGAGAGCGTTGCCGCTGCGACCGTGTTGAGCTGTAACAACTCGGTACAGAGCTGAGCGGCTGAGAACCTCCAGAACGAGTAGAGTGAGCAGCATGAATGCGCACGTCCAGATGTAGAAAATGAGTGCCGAAGCTCGAGCTGAAGCAAATGCCGGTTCTGGTTGCTTTCCCAGAGCAAGTGCAGCTTGGCTCGATCGAACGCTGCTGACAGTTGCAAGAAGCTGGATGAGCGATACAGCTGCGGCCTTCACAGGGACTCGCGGAGTGTATCAATTAGCTCGCAAGAAATTCGAGCCTGGTGCCAGCTTGCCGACTCACAACAAAGCCTTGACCAGCCAACATGGCGCCCATCGCTTTGCCGCCAAAGAGGGACGACATTGCAACCACGGCATTCTGCAAGTATGCTGTCGCGATGGCCAATACAGCTGTGATGAGCATGAGGGTCCAGAAGGACGTCTCTGTCCCAGCTCTGTCTGACTTTGTCTGAGCTTCTGCGGCGGATCCGCCGATCCAAACAGTGATCAGCGATAGGGTGATAAACACGACTACACTGGACCAGACTGTGCGTCGATATGGCGAGACGCGTACAACACTTGCTGTTGCGTGAGCTCCAAAAATGATCGTGGCCACATTGTAAATGGAGATGATGTACGACATGAAGTTGTCCGAGTGCGTCGTGGCCGCAAAGAGGCCTCGATAGTATTCCGAAGGTGTAATCAATGCATTGCTGCGTGCAACATCGTGAGGGGAGAATGGACGGGCAGAAACGGCAACCGGATCAGCTATCATATGCGCCGCTAGGGCTAAGTGCGTTCCCCTTGCTACTAGCTCTGTAAAAGGCTGAATAAGCACTCACAATGGCAAAAGCACAGCTGCGCCTAGGACCACAAAGGCCCCATACACGCTAGACCTCTGCATGGAAGAGAGAGCTGCCCATTCGGGAGTGAGCTCCGCGCCATATGCATCTCTTGCCTGAGCTTGTGGAAACGATGGAGCTGATACTGGCTCTTGAGGATTGCCTAAGCTGGTCTCGCGCGTGCCAGCTGCTGGATTGACCAAAGTGTGTTCGCTAATCGCATCTCTCTCGTGCTCGACGCCATCGGCAGCAGGCAGGAGCGCTTCCCTATCCGCATCGTCCTCGTCTACATTCTTTCGCGCAGACAAAGAAGAAGGGGAACGTGGGTATGAGCCTCGAGTATCTCGAGACCACATGTTGGGCAGGTGAAAGGTAAACCGATTTGAACCAGCAGATGCGGGTGATCTGAGTGATCGGTTCGAGTTGCCGGATCGAACCGAATCAGGACTGCCCGATCGATGTCGGCGGGAGGAGGAGCCTGGGACGGATAGTCGAGAAGGCGTGGGCCGAGACATTGGATTGAGGAATGTCCAGCTTGTTACGTACAGTATGTGTCGCTTCGAAAAGTGGAGGGCGGCCAAACATATGGTGATGCTCTAACCCTCGACTTCAGTGCTCTAACGGCCGGACAAGCAGTGTGAGTCCAGGATCGCGTGAAGGCCTGCGTACGCCAAGGTGACAGACGCAATTTTGGTATAGTCACGAGTAAAGGGTAGTCAAGATTTGTGGGTTGTGAGTGCAAGGCCAAGTGTGAGTCTTCGTCGACTCCAGACTTTGACTAGGATCCGAGCGCGGCGCGATTTGGTCACTCGGGTGCAGCGCGCCATGCATGCGCAACGCCCCCACCCACTCAAGACTTCCCAGACTCATCCATCGTAAGTGACGAGGCGAGGCGTGCCTCACCCTCGCTCAAATGACTTTTGGCTGCAAAGCTAACTAGGCGTATACCCATGACCTAGCATTGCGTGGATTGGGATGAGCGCGCGCGCGCCATGGCGGGCCAAATTCGATCGGATCGGCCACACCTTGGTCTGACAGTCACGTGGTCATCATTCGAAGCTGCCTTTCCGGCATGCGCGCGCTCAGACCTCTCTGACGCGCAAGCGTGTCCCTTCGAACAGCATGCAGCGCATATGTACTGCACACCGCTCGAATCCGCCGTCAGAAGGTCGCAGCAAGCACTCCACACCCTCTCGCCATACCGTGGCCAAGCATCTCTAGATTGCTTGTCATCTACGCCGCATGCACTGAAACGACATATCGTGAGGTCCCTAGCACCTGACCGTCCCTGCATCCAACCCTCGACCACTGGGCAACGCGTCTGCCACAATGCCCACTGCTACATCAACACCCGCAGCGAGCGGCTCCACGAGCGAGCAGCCCGTCGTACTCTCAACAATCTCTCAGCAAGTCAATGTGCATCCTCTCGTTCTGCTATCAGTCACGGATCACGCTTCGCGCGCAGCTACAGGAGGTCGGAAGAGAGTGGTGGGAGTGCTTTTGGGTCAGGACGATGGCAAAGTCGTCAATGTGGCCAATAGCTTCGCAGTGCCTTTTGAAGAGGACGAGGGTGCTGGAAGCGAAGGAAAGAGCACTTGGTTCTTAGATCACGACTACATTACCAGCATGATGGAGATGTGCAAAAAGGTCAATGGTGAGTGCAACACGAAGGTCATTGTGGGAAGCGCACACGATGTGGGAGACAGTGCTGGATGACGTGGGTCGCGCAGCTACATCGCGTCGTACCTATTCATTTGCTGCGCGTATAGCAGTCTAGAACCTATGAGATCAGGCAACGACTGTCTTCTCATACAATCGGTGCTCGGAGGTACCTTGTCTCCAGCTCGATATCGGCCATGAGTTTAGTGTCGCGCGTGACTTACCCCGCAAAATTTCGATACTCCTTATCCAGCGCGAGAAAAGATCATCGGTTGGTATCATACCGGCCCTCGGCTTCGAGCATCCGACCTAGACATCAACGACCTGATGAAGAGATTCATGCCAAAGCCCGTCATGGTGATCGTCGATCCGCGTTCTAGAGATACCGGAATCCCAACGGACGCATACATTGCCATAGAGGAGATCAAGGAGGATGGAACAGCGGCGCAGAAGACCTTTGTGCACGTACCTTCGAGCATTGTGGCTGAGGAGAGCGAAGAGATTGGTGTGGAACACTTGCTGAGAGATATCAGGGACACCACTACAGTCGGAACGCTCAGCACCAGGGTTGGAGCTCAGTTGTCTAGCTTGAGAGGTTTGCTCGCGAGATTGCTGGAAATCCAAAACTATCTAGAGCTCGTGTCATTGGGCAAGATGCCCGTTAATCACGAGTGAGTACAACCACGACCCTTAGCGTTGTCAAAGTTCCAGCACGTGCAGAAAGGCCGACACTGACCGCGCGGTGGTCTCCTCATAGGATCCTCTTCAATGTGCAAGACATATTCAACCTTCTGGACAGGACCACAGAGGCTCAACATTTCAGCACGGCAACAAATGATCAAATGCTGGTCATTTACTTGAGCAGTCTGATTCGAGCTGTCATTGCGCTGCATGCGCTCGTCGAGAATAGAGCACAGGTGCGTCGCAAGTCTGCTTCTTGCTCTGATCAGCATGAGATGGTCCCCAACCAAGCGGTTGCTCACTTTGTCTTTCCTCTCTCGCGCCAGAATGCAAAAGGCGAAGAAGAGGACGGCACAGCGGCAGGCGAAGCGAACGGTACCTCGGGCGGCAAGAAGGAGATCGGAGATGGCAAAACATCTCAGAAAGAGGGGGAAAAGAAGAAGTAGTGTTGCTATACTGGAGCAGACGGGATCAATGCATGTACTTCAGAAGCGATGCGATTAAGTACTAGCCGGCCTTGATGTCCAGAGCTGCTCGGTACATGTGAACCACATTGTGTCTGCCTATGCCCTGATGGGCAGCCGTCATAACATCAGCTTTGCAAGCAGCATGTCAGGCCACGATGGGGTCATGTTGCATTGCCTTTCAGAGGTATGTCTGGCATCATGTAGCAGGCGTAGGTGTACGCTCAAAAACGTACACGTATGCCAGTTTCACAAGTCCCTTTACGCCTACTTCTAGATGAGCTCCAGATGAAGACTGGCTCGAGAAGGGCGCCTTGACCACTTTTTCGTCGCTGTGAGCATGAAAGTTGCAGACAATCAGGAGTCGGGTACGCATTTTTTCACAACGCTGAGGGCTTACACTCACTTGAACAGAACCCACTGAGCTTCCCCGGCTGGACCGTTTCCCAGAGAAGATCCCGACGCCGCGTCTTCGTCATGTCTGATGTGCGCGACGTACTGCAGACGGGGGACAAAGAGCATGACTGTCAAACACTGGCAAGCAAGACTTGATACCGAACGCGCCTCACATGTCCGCTGTGTATAGATGGCTGCAACGGAGGAGGGCGAGGCCCGTAATTCAGCTGAATCTTCTCTCCTTCTCAAAGGGACGTGACGTCGCGCATGAACTCACGCCTTTGTGGGAGATGAATGATTTGAGGGAGAAATTGGCGGGAAGAGCCGCTGAGCCACCAACCGGAGGCGGTGCACTCGACGTCGAGCTAGGGCCCGCTACGCCATCTGCAGAGCCATCGATCATCTCCACGTCCGTGGCTGTGCGGCTCTCAGGGCCCGCTGCGGTCGCGTCAAAAGCAGAATAAGCCGGGGCGGAAGATTGCTCCTCTTCGCCAGGATCGCCACCGTTCTCGAACAGCCATCCCACAGCAGCGTCTGCATTTCCATTGCTGACTCTCAAAGCTTTCCTAGCTTGGTTCTTTGAGAATCCCATCTCCTCAAAGATGCCGTAATCCGCAGTCGGCGTCGCAGTACCGCTCTGGGCTACAGACGCTCCACCAGATTCATTTGACGTGACGTCCGCCGGCGCGTAGGGATCAACTCCTGCAGCTGCGTATATCGCTGCGATTTCCTGCTGCGCAACCCCGTCAAAGTCTTGTGCGATGTCCACAGCAGGATCCTCATCAGCCGAAAACGCCCAGTCCATAGCGACTTCCGAAGCGTCCCACCTCCCGGTTTGTCTAAATGCTTCAAAGTAGGCGTTCTGAGCTCTGCCTGGCGACATGCCCATCTCGATGCCTTCGCTTAGAAGACCCTGATCGAACTTTGGCCCGCTCCAGTTCGTCCACTTGCCAAGATCCACAGACGGTGGAGGTTGGGCAGATCCTTGTGGCGTGCTGCTGGCAGCGGCAGGAGGCGGATCATCTTTTGGCTCAGGTAGTTCCTCTTCATCGTCTCTCCTACCCGTACCCAAGTACTTGTCCAAATTTAGTCCTTCCAGCGGGACGTTGATAGGCACGTCTACCTTCTGTGGCACCCAGTTGATGAGCTGGAAGCGCCGCACCTGGATCGAGAGAACGTCGGGAAAAGAGGTGAACAAAGTCTGCTTGGTGGCAATGACGTGCTTTTCGCAGGCTGGACAATGGTACTCGAGCTCTTCTGGAGCGGTGAAGATGTCCAAACACTCCTGAAGATCCACTTCTTCGTACTCGATCTGGTTGAGGGATCCGCCAGTCTGGAGCGAGTCCGCTATCGCTTTCTGAAACTCGGCCTCCTCTTTCGCCCGACTCTCAGCATCTTCCTCATTGTTTGCTTCGCCGATCAAATTGATTGGATCATCTTTGGTTCCTTCTGCTGCTAAGCTTTTCGCCAATTGCTCGTCTGCCAAAGACTGTGCCTGCATGTCAGAAGCTTCATCCTGCGCAGCAGCGTACGGGTCAGGTTCGAGCTCGTTGACAGCATGGGGGCCCTCGACTGGTGCTTTGCCTTTTGCCTCCTGCGCTCCTTCCGGACCTGATATATCCGAGCGAGGCGGCGTTGGCACGGGCGTGGTGTCACCTGTTTGCATAGCGTCCGAATCAGGACCATCTGGTAGAATGTCGGTGGTCACTTCCTCTCTGGGCGTTGGCGGTAACACCACATCATTGACCACCTGATCGTTTCCAGATTCCACAACCTCAGATATCTGAGGTGGCTTGAATTTGGGTCTAAGTGGAACGGGGAGGCTGAGACCAGTATCCTGAGCTTCAACAGTATATCGCACCCGCCTGCACTCAGTACATTGTAGCCTCGACTGGAGCCCAAAGCTGAAGATCCGCGTAGCATCGTCCGAAGGTGCGCCCTCGATCTGAATGACATCTGTCGCGATCCTCCGAGTGTCGCGCTGCAAGCAGCTGACTAGGTGCTTCAAGAATTCATCGGCGTCTTGCTGTCGCATTGTAGAGAATTCTGAGTGACCTCGCCCTATCAGGCTCTTCAGCATGCTGGGCTTGATACCATCTTGAAATACCGCCCCCTTTCCTCGGTTTTTCGTCGCTTGCTCAGGCGAAGGAACTGCATAGCGACCGGACAGTAGTCCGTCAGCCAGCTTGCCCATCTGGCATTCGATGCAATTGGCGGGCTGAGGATTGGTGCACGCCGTTGTGTGCGGTCGATAAGCTGTGAAATATCGAGCCTTGAACGTCGGTAAAGCGAAGACAGCTTGCAAGACAGAAGCCATGTAGCAGCTGAGCATCGACGAGGCACATGAGCATGACTTAGGCACACGGATCATCTGCACCTGACGATTACTACTCACCTATTGCCCAGATTTTTTAGGCCAGTCAATCCGGGCCCAAAGAGCGGTTGCAGCTCTTTGCCATCGTCGCCAGTCATGTTGAAGTCAAAGTTGATATTCTGCTCCAAGTTGAGCTCAGTCATGCTCTTCTCTGTCTTGACGAGTCCTAGGGTCGAGATGCCGAGGTGCTGAAGATGTTTGGCTAGATCGGGATCCTTGCGCTCATCGTCACAAGCGTAGCAATATATATCTGCTGTTCCTTCTGGGGTAATGGTGCCCTGCTTGACAGAGACAGGGTGGCCCGTATCCTTGAAGTGCAGCATGGCATGACCATTTCCCCCAAGGCCACCGAATTGTTGTCTACCGCAGGACACCGCACCACACGTCAAGCAAAGCCAGAGATTGGCGGTCTGGCAATCATTTGATGGCGGGACAAATCCGGTCAGCAACGCTGCGATGCCACTTCGACAAGCACCTGCATTGCACTTACAAGGTCACAACGGCTACATTTACCCTCATTCGAGACCTTGGTGGCATCAGCCTCCTGCTGCAGATCCCTCGTGTGCTGACAAGGCTCTATGATCGCTTCCCAGGCTTGAACCTCGTTCTGCTGAGAGGACGACAAGCTGCGCACGATTGAATTTGCCACTTCACCCAGCTGAGCACAAATCGCACGAGAGCACGCATTGACCATCCGAAGCGGTCAGACCGGGCGAGGTTCTTTGTGTTGCTTGCGCCGGCGGGTCGCCCCACTCACCTTGCCGACTTTCTCAAGCAGCCGGCCCTGGACTTGGTCGCAGGCCATACACTTGACTGTGGTCTCATACAACCAGTCATCCTCCTCTTTCCGCGCCAGAATGGCAACTTTCGAAGGTGTGTCCTGAATAGGGTTCTGGGAACATAGCGGTTGCAGCATGAGCGGCGCAGCCACGTTCTCGACATTTCATTCCCATGACTCACTTCCGATGGTTTCCTTCTACGCTTGACATTGCATACGATAGGATGCCAAGTTTTGGAAGCGTGAGCTCTAGCATGCTCTCGGTCTTTGTTGCCTACACAGCCCCCATTGAAGCAGGTCAAGCAAACATCGATGCCGTGTTCCTCTTGAGAACCATCGAAGCACAAGGTGCATTCATCCTTGTGGACGTCTTGGCCTGCTCGAGGCGGTGCTAGACCGGGCAAGACCGCCGCGACGTGAGGGCAAGCGGGCAGGTTTGCCATCGCTGCGCTGATGGACGTAGTGGGTTCTGTATGGGTGCGCAAAGAGAGCCTTCGAGATGCAGAGCCTGGGTTGCTGGAGTTGAGGCCGGTTGAAGGGGATCTCGAGCGCTTCATATGCCTCAGGAATGCACTGCTCTGCGGTTCACTTTGGCAAAGGACGCCCGTCGCCGGCTCCTGGCAAGATGATGAAGTAAGCGCAGCGCTAAGGAGGGTCTTTCAGACCTCCTCGCAATGCAGCAGGTGACTGTCGAGCTAGGAGCACGGTAGTCGCACCAAAGCTTCCTGAGTCGAGCTCCACTTTTGTCAAGGTGGAAGACCCGATGGTACCACACAACCCAAAGACGGGCGAAGAGAGGTACGAACGTTTCCGTTTGCCGTCTGTAGCACAACAAGTGATTAGATAGTACGTCGGGGATGCGTAGTCGGTACTCGTCAGCGTAGAGCATCATGAGGGCTGGCAAGAAGGAGTCAAAGTCGTGGATGTGCGAGCGCTGACCTTCTCCACTTGCTGTCGGGCAGCAGCAACCACTCGACGCGTGTGCGCGCGAGCGTGCGAGCGTGCGAGCTGCACACGACTCATCGGTCTGCAGCCAGGGCGTGCTGTGCTCTCCACCGCCACAGCGAAGGGCTGCTGATGTGCCTCAAGGTGGGCTCTTTTTCCATCCACAGTACTGATTCGGCTATGAACGGCCGACAGCGCCGGAGCCTTGGAGATAAATTGCGGCACCCTCCCCGGCAAGGCATCTATCTCCTTGATTCACGGCTGCCAGACTGATGCTGGCGTAGCTCATCTACCATCTCACAATTCCTGAACGACTATTTGGCTGGCATGTCATCTGCTGAAGCGCGCCAACAGGTCAAAGAGCAAGGATGGCGAAGAAGAACCTCAAAGCAGCGTTGGCAGGCCATCATTCCCGCAAAGCATCCGCAGACAAAGCAGCTCGTGTAGAAGACGCGCAGAAACGGAAAGCAGAAAGCATCAAGAGGTCCGTCTCTGGTGCCAGTGCTAGATTCAATGCTGAGAA